CAAAATAAACATTTTAGACAGAACAAACAACGCTGCTTAAGCTAATTCAAATGAAATTAAAAGTAAAAAAAGGAGCCAACCTTATCACCGTCTGTAACCAACTAACACGCTAAGGAAAGCATCAGATGAGCTACCTGAGAAACTAACGTTACGTTTCCCCACTTTAAAACCAAACAAACATGGCCGCTCACCCTGCTGATCAGCTCTCTTCACTGCCATCGAAGGCTCCAACGTGTTTCCTTTTCAGGTGCTGCATCATAACAGTGGTGGTTCCGTGCCATGTTCATTTGTTTTTACAAAAGTTGAATGTTATGACTTTTTTCGCTTTACAAAGCGCAGGCCGTCTGCGAATTGAGACGCAGCTTGCGTTTGCGCTATCGGTCAATAGAGCGCTGGCTCGCTCTGCCGTTTTTCTTTTCTTCCCGCGTTTCAATCAAGTGGCAGTAATGACAACGGCGGCGGATGACGCATTAATCGTGCGACACAACTAATCGATGATGAAATTCGTTGCCAATGCTTTTGAATGTCGATTTTTATCGATTTTATCGATTCGTTGTTGCAGCCCTACTACAGTGAGAGTCAAGATGGAACACAGAAGAAATGAAAACTGATGACTGAGGTCAAACACATCGAGCTTCAGCTCCATTTTATAAAGAATAGGTGAAGTAAAAACAGAACAAAATAAAAAGCAAAAATTTGCCATTTTTATTTGTAAAGAAAATCTAAATCAAAAATAGACTTTTATTTAAATCTAAGATTTTTTGCTGCTGTAAACACCAAGATTTCCCCATTGTGGGACAATAAAGGGATTTTCTATTCTATTCTACTTTAATGAGAGCCATCCTTTAATCCTACTTACACATTCATATCATTAATGCCCAGTTTGCTGTGGAAATGTTTTCCGACGTCACACCCGAACCACACAGCCTGAGAAAAGTAGGAAGACAGAAAAAAACATTTTATTTTTTACATTTCCAAACATTGAAGCTTTTTCATATCGGCCCGTCCCCACGCACCTCTCCATCCTTAATGGAGTCTGCAGCGGCCTTCTTAAGCAGCTGGATGGGTTGGTTGTTGTACAGGGTGCTGCGGCCTCCGACCATGTTCCCCAGGAACTCCACGCTGTACAGCTTCCCGTAAGGGTTCTGCGGTCGGGGGTCGTTTACGAGGCAGACCTGAGGATGAGGAGGAGACGCCTCAGTTTAGAGACTCAACAGCTTTGAAAGAATGTAGCTGAAGTTTTTGTGGTCTGTTTGATGTGGTGCGTACTTTGTCCTGAATGTTGTAAAGCGGTTTGACATGTTGCCTGTAGAACTCCTGGGGGCTGAGGGGTCCCAAGCGGTGGAAGTTCTTGTCCTTGTCCCGGTACTCCCAGCAGATGGTGTCTGGAGGGCTGCCTAGACAAACGCTGGCCACACGAAACACCTGCAGAGCGGTACAAACAGGAGCTCCCGTCACAAACTGTTCTAAAACCCAGAAAACGGTTACCTGACTGGGAATGTTGGAGCAGAGGCATGAAAATTCAGATTTCTTTGGCTTGTTTCACTTTATTCCTGAAGAAAAAAACTTAAATTCCATTTATTTTCGGCTGAGTACAGCGTTTGCACCTTTAGATGTCCTCCACCCCTCACACTCCCTCTCCTGTGTGTCTTCCTGCAGTGCAGAAGTTCAGACTGAGTTCCTGTGGGCTAAATCGAGCTGTTTGGACTGAGCAGCCTGTCAATCTGGCCCTTCCAACCTTGGATACAGTTATCTCTGGAATTTCCCCTTTTTCTGGGCCTTTCCCTTCTCCGATAATCTGCTCAACCCTCTTAGAACTGAACATATGATTCTTCCGATGAAATACAGCAAAGAATGACGAAGGAAGAATAGATGAGGTGCAGAGTGCTTCTTGTGTTTGTTCGACTTCCAACTCTTAAAAAGGACATTCTTCCACAAACGGATGAAGAAGTTATGAGATTTAGCCCTGCCTTACTCAAACACTTGTCTTTTTCGGCACGGCAAAGCGTGAAGTCTCAAACAAAACAGACAAAAACCAAAATACACAGACATAGTGAGTCAACAAAGGCCTCGGAGCGGCCTTCATCTCTGTTCCAAAGTGTTGTTTATACTGCCTTATGGGCCATATCGAAGCCAACATGTCCATCTTCCCGTCTGTCCCTTGACGTCCGCCTTCATTCCTCTCCGTCTTTCGTTACCAATATTTATTTTCTGGTAATGTTTGACCCTCAATAACTTAAAATCGATGTTTTCCCTCCACCACAGAACGCTACGTCATCATCAGCATTGCTAAAGCGTTCATACCCATAATTATACTTGCTGCAATTTATGGGGACTTCTCCACCATGAACAGAATCTAAAATAAATCTGGATCCAGGCTCAAAATGAGCACCTTGATATGTGCTTGAGAATGGCCTAGTCTCCATTTAAACCCAGGTTTAAAGCCTTGCAGGGCAGCCTAAAGCCCACTGCCAACATTAAGCCATAGAAAAGAAAAAAACAAAAACAAACAAATGGTTCAGGTGGTTCATAAAATATGTAAATCATGAAATTCTCTATATACACCAAACTGAACGATTGTTGTTCTCCACTTCAAAAACAACTGGGCCATCACTCCCCACATACTTTTATTTGGAAAGAAAAACTGTTTATTGCATCCCTGTTTTTGCATTTGTGGTTTGTTTTATTTTTATTTTTTATATGGTTTTAATCGTTTTAATTATTTAATTTTATTACATTTGTTTTATTCCTTCATAAAATTTTACCTTGACCTGATATGTAAAGCCCTTTGTGGGAGCTGTGGTTGTTTTAAAGGCTTTATCAATAAAGTTGAGTGTGGAGCAGAAAGTTAAACAATTCTTCACAAAAGAATTCTAGTTTACTCTAAGAGTTTTAATTGTTTGTACTCCTTGTTTTGTTGATTTTTAAATTTTATTTAAGTTTAATATGGGAAAAAAGTCAGAATTCTGACTTTTTTCTCAGAATTTCTCAGAATGACAGATAACAAACATGTTAGCATCAAGCCATATCCATGTCTGTTTTAGAGACTAGCTCTCTTGTTTTAATGACCTTCTGCTCCTCTATTAATGAGGGGACACCCCTTGGGCAAGTAAAAAGTTGCTTTATTCCGTAATTTCCCACCAATGTGTCACTGGCCACCTCAAACAACTCACATCTTTGTCAGTGAAGCTGAGTGCTCCACATCTCTTCCTTCATGGTGCCCATCTACATTAAGATCCAAAATTCTGAGAAAAAAGTCAGAATTCTGAGATTAAAGTAAGAATTCTTGGATTAAAGTTAGAATTCTGAGATTAAAGTCAGAATTCTGAGATTAAAGTCAGAATTCTTAGAAAAAAGTCAGAATTCTAATTTTTTTCCTCCCATGTTAAACTGAAATAAAATTAAAAAATCCGTTAACCTTTTTTTTTCAGTGGCCCTAATCCTCCTCCGTAACTTGGTCATCCACTAACAAGTCTACATAATATTTTGTCCTCTGAGCTTAAAACCATCTTACCCTGACAAACCTCAGGAACTGGATCTGTGAGCACCGATCTTTGGCATTTTATTAAAGATTAGTCGGCACAGCGTTCGAATTTAGGCTTCCTCCTGAGTCCGTCCTGTTTTTCTTGGTCTTAATTCTGCCATTTGTTCATCCATGTTCTCTAATGAGCCTCCGATTTAGGTTGATGTTAAACTAAATAAAGAAGAGCTATTTTTACTCTATTGGTATCCACTGATATTGGCTTTAAAACTAAATATCTGCCAATAAAAGAACTGATATATGAGGCTGTGTTATTGTTTTGTGGCAAAGATGATGATTATACCTGTGCCAGCAGGTCGGACTCATCCAACCGAGACATGAGCCTGTTACAGAAGAGATGCTGAAGTAAAATCGCACTTGGCTTTTAAAGGCATACTATGCAACATTTTTCAGTTAATTAATGTGTTCCATAACGTTTTGGATGATTAAATGACTCATTTCAGGTCGAACAAAGGTTTTCTCGGCCGCCCTGGTGGTCTGTCGGGGAAATACCGTACCTGCAATTGCAGGAGCCCTCGGCCCGCACCCACAGGCTCAGAAGTCTCGTGCACCGCGTGAGTCGGTCTTACTTGCCCCTAGTGAAAGGCGTGCTCGTTGCTAGCGCAGTGGCGATATTTGTGCAGTTATCATGGTGGAACCAGCGAGAAAACAGCAAAAGCCCATGTCGGAGCAGGCAAGAAAGAAGAAAAGGGCTCTCTACCGCAGTAGACATGGCGATTCGTTGCGTTCGCCTGTCTGCTAAGCTCAAAACAACCGCGCCTGGCTTGACGGAGAAACCAGGAGAACAGCTGAGCATATTTACGACAGTGCACTTTTACTTTTGCCCTCTGGGGGGAGCCTCGCTGGAAAATCAACACAGGTTGGATAGTATACCTTTAAAGTTTCAGAAGCAGGTATGAAAACTGCTAGAAGAGAGGGAGGAAAATCAATATATTGTCTTTAAGAAGGTCTGGAGGAAAAAAATTTTAGGACTAAAGACAAACATGTGCTACTTATTTAGGATTTTTATTGTAAGAATATAAATAAAGTAAGATTTTCATTTTACTTCTTGATAACAAACTACCTCGAGTACCTAGAGCTACCTAGAGCGCATTAAAGCACACTGTAGTGTCGATTAAGGGGCTGAGTGCTTTGGCATCAGCCTTGTGCCCACTCATCACACCTGGTCAGGTAAATAGAGGGGGTGTGAGTTTGAGGTCAGGCTGACAGAGAGAAACGGCAGAGAATAAAGAGCCGCGGTGACATGTGAGCAGGGCCGATGTTGGAACACCTGTCGCATCACTGAGTGACACAAAAATACAACAAGAGGAAGAAGCAGAGGTGCTGATAACGCAACACAACAACTCAGTCCCGTTTTGTTTTCGGCATTAACAGAAACCCTTTTGTTTATTTTACATTATTTACGAAACAATGGAATCATAATCATCTGATATCAGACCAACGTTTTACACTTAAGTCTGTGGGGATTAGTTATTTTCCAGCCCTTTGTTTTAAACCTCATCATCTTAACAAAAATCCACCCCGGGTCTGTCACAGCTAGTTTGCATGTCTAGCTGTAAACAATGACGGACTGACTGCACGCCACTGACGCCAACTGTGGCCAAAGGCTGATAAGATCTGTTTCCTGTGTTTACTGCTGGCTGACGCCCACCTTACATATTTAGATGCTGTGTGTGACCAAAACAAACAGGTCGTCTGAAGGTAAGAGTGAAACTTCTTATAAACAGCAGACCAACAATGAATGACACCATACAATCCCCCGCATACTTGCTGACACAGATAGAGCAATGGTGTAAAAACCCTGAAACCAAATGCGTCTTGCGGTACCATAATATTGAGAAAGACCAAACCTTTCACTTGGGTTCCTATATTTACACTTTGCAATAAAGAATAAGGAAATCCCATCTAAATAAGTTGTACTTTTTTGTAGAAGCTCTCTGTTCAGGTTTAAACATAGATTACATTTCAAAAAGTTGGGTCATTCAGAGAGAAGCCATCTGGCTATTGCCCTGATGAAGCATTTCTGGGCTGATTTGGTCAGTTGGTCGGTTTTGGACGACCACTGACGATCCTATTTACCACATTGGTTACGATCTAATATTCCCTGATATTTCCAAGAATCCATGATGTCATATAATCCAAAAATGTTAAAAGTGGTTAATTAAGGTAAAAAGGGCTCACAGTAGCACAGTCCCTCCAATAAAACTTAAAATAGACGTTATCCTGACCTAACTATAGTTTTGCTGCTATAGACTTAGCGTGCTGGAGGACATGGGGACCACTTTTCAACATTCTACTTAATTTGCTTTTATCTCCAATTCTGCAGAATGTTAGTTCAAACTCATTACTTTATACTCTGCTTTTTAATGGCTGCGATTCCACCCTGGAGGGAAATACACCTTCAATCATAGATGATAGTCCTGTTTCTCTCCTAGACATACCTGTGGTTCAGCTTTTACAGGGTTCCTACAGCATAAAGCAAGTTAAATTCAAGACTTTTCAAGACTTTTTAATGCCACTTGAAATAAAAATTTAAGACCAAATTCACAAGAAACACAAGAAAAACCTGCTTGCGACAACTTAACCCAAAGGTTTATTTTAACATAAACCACTGCACTAATGTTTCAAATTTTGAAAAACTTCCCATTCAGGAAGAAAGCTCAAAACTCACAAATGA